TAGGGGATATATAGCAAATTCTTTAAAACCTTCTCCTTCTGCAGGAATGAAAGGATTTGGTCCATATTTGGTCTAAAGCATTCTTGGGTAAAGGGGAACCAATTTTGCAAAAAACGGTGGGTGTGGCCCCTTTGGGGCTGAGAGGCGGGGCTCAGTAGGGGAAATTTAGCAAATTCTTTAAAATCCTTCTTCTGTAGGAATGAAAGAATTTGTTCCATATTTGGTCTGAAGCATCCTTGAGTGAAGGGGAACCAATTTTGTATAAATTGTGGGTCCGGCCCACTAGAGGCCTGAGGGCNGGGACCCAATAGGGGAAATAGAGGTAAAACCTTTAAGTCCTTCTTCGACCATTGGGATTAAGGGATTTTATCCTTATTTAGTCTGTAGCATCATTGGGCCAAGGGACTCAATTTTGTATAAACAGTGGGTATGACCCCCTAGGGGCATAGGGGTGGTGCACTGTTTGAAGTTAGTTCTCACTATATCTCAAGTACTGGATGGATCTTTCTGAAATTTCATATGTACCTACAGCACCTACCATGGAGTGCTATATCTTTACTTCATACCAATTTTTTTAAACATATTCAGGTGAGCCATACAGGCCCTCTGGGCCTCTTGTTTTTACCTGAGACCAATGTTTGCTATGACATATTCCAATATTCCAGGGTTGTAGAGAGTGAAAATGAGCGGAACCCCTGGATATCGAGGATGAAAGTAACAGTTAAATTGCCCAATTAGAAGCAAAACTATAACACGTAAACAAATTCAATATTCAATGTTCAACGAATTCCGATGGCACAATATTGATGACGTCAACACACCAGTCATGACATTCATAGGTATTTTGTCGGGGTTATATATATACTGGTTCTAAAAAGAAACGTTTAATTATTTTATTTATAGTATTTTATTAACGTTTTGAAAATGCTGTAAATTCACACTGGCAAAATCGATATCAATTGACTAACTTCACTTTCATATAAGGTCTCTGTGGAACGGCGTCACAAGTGTTTATCCAGTGTGCGTAAAAATCAAGTTCACAGAATTTTCTCCCATCCCTCACAGGTGTGTCTCCCTTTTAAGCCAGAAGAGATCAGTTTGTCACCCCTAGGGAGAGATAACCTCGTGCATAACAATAGTATGACGTCACGTCATCAATGCATTAACGTCACATCAACAGTACAGCAGACCATGGAAGACAACTCTGAATTTGATGGAAAAACATGAAATCGGCGCTTATAGTTCATGCAATCACCGCTTGTCGGCAGATTTGTGAGTGAAACAAGATGGGAGAAAAACAATCATCCCTTACCTTGAGGTATAGCCTCGGGTAAGACATCAATAATATCATCCCTCGGGTTGGAGATTTCTCTGTCACACCCTCATGTTAGGGAAAGATTCTATTATTTTTCCACCCTTCACAGATGTGTCTCCCGTTTTAGCCGGAAAGATCAGCTTGTCACTCCCCTAGGGTGAGATAGCCTCGTGCCGACTAGCACGTGTTCAATTGCGTCGTCATTAAAACGAGTCATCGGTAGTTGTGACGTCATCAAAAGTGAATGACGATATGCATACCCCACATGTGTTTTTGTTTACAAACTTGACAGACTACTGTCGGTGGAGTTGTGACTTAAATAATAGGATGGGAGAAAATGTCTTTCCCTATCTTGAGAGTGTAACAGAGAAATCTCCAACCCTCGGGGTGATTTTTTTGGTTGTCTAACCCTAACCAAAAAAATCAATCCGAGGGTTGGATATTTCTCTGTTACACCCTCAAGGTAGATAAATATTATATTGATCATCGCGTGAAAGAACCCATGGCGTCGACAACAGCATGACAACAGCCTGACAACGACGTTGCATGGAAGCGATGAGTCGGCCAAAGACCTCATCGGGATCCTCCGCCATTCTTCCTGTAAGGCCGTTCCCAACTGGTCCAACGTTTGAGGCTGCTGACGTCGATTTCTCACTTTTCTGTCCAACTGATCTCAGAGGTGCTCATTGGGATTGAAATCTGGAGAAAGCGCTGGCAAATCAAGAACTTGGATGTTCTTTTGATGATGAAAGTTCAAGTTGACGCGTGCGACACGAACATATTAGTTTTCTTGCTGAAACGTACCGCCATTTGTCACCCTGAATGAAACAACATGTGTTACCGAGATCTGCTTCCTGTAAAGTTGAACGTTTTACATTCTGTTTTTCGTAGTACTTATGATTGTCCGACTGAGTTAGATTACCATTTAAACTTAAAAGATTTGAAGAAAGGATCTATTTTTTATTCTAAGGAGATTTCCAAACATATAATATATTTGTGTGTACTGTATATGTGATCATGTAAAATGAGGTACACACAGTCTAGTAAAAGGTTTTGAACATTAAGATGTAGAGACTAACTAATATTACCGTTAATTTGTGCTTGTAAAATGGTTAAGATCATATCTGAGTAACTGAGTAACAGACATCAGACAGTCAAAATTAACGATATCTACTCGGACCCAGCTACTATTACGTGTGTGGTACCACAAGGTTGTATTTTAGGCCCTCTTTTATTCTTATGCTATGTCAACGATATGGCAATCAGCATTGATGGAGAATGCAAATTACTATTATATGCCGATGACAGTGTTATCCTTTTCGCACATAATAGCCCAGAAATAATTTCCACGAAACTTGGTGCTGTACTTGAATCATGTGCAGAGTGGTTAGTTGATAATAAGCTTTCGTTGCATTTAGGTAAAACAGAGAGCATGCTATTTGGAACGGATTTTTAAAAAAATCAAATTGATCATTTTGAAATTGTCGCAAACAATCATACCATCAAATCAACAAAATCTGTGTAATATCTTGGAGCTAATATAGACTGTTGTATGTCTGGCGAAGAAATAGTAGAAAACATCGTGAGGAAAGTAAATTCTAGACTGAAATTTTTATACAGACAAAGTAAATGTCTAACTACAAAAACCAGACAAAGTTTATGTTCTGCACTAATACAATGTCACCTAGATTATGCATGCTCCGCGTGGTACTCAGGATTGAACAAGAAAATGAAGAACAAATTACAGGTTTTACAAAATAAAGTTGTCAGATTTATTAGCCAATTAGGAGTTTCACTCCCACTGAACTGTCAAAGCTCAATATGTTAAATATAGAATATAGAGTCAAACAATTAAGACTCAATCATGTGCACAAGATTTTTTATGGAAAATGTCCATCCTACTTAAACCTAAACTTCATAAAAGTGTCAGGTGTTCATCAGCATAACACACGATCATGTCTTTTTAATTTTGTTGCTTCACCATGTAAAGGGAAATATACCTGTACTTTTTATTTTAACGGGATCCATGCCTGGACAAAATCAAGGGTATGAAATCCATATATGCATTTAAGGCAGCAGTGAAGAAACATCTCGCTTTTAAATTTCAAAATTCATGCTGATAACACAATTATATGTGATTGCGGTGGCACAAAACAAGTAGACTTTGCTGGAAGGGGGATCCCAACCCTAAGAAAACAAACTTTGTGTCACTGCAATCCACGTGCTGACGACATCTGTACCGTATTATTTTTGTTATTTAGAAATAGTTGGAAAGTCACGTTACATATTTTAAGTTGGGCTAACTATTTAAACCTGAACATATATATATATGTGTGTTTTTTAGATTATATAGTCATTACGGAATTACTATAGGTACTGACAATAAAGTTAATATGGTGTCATTCATTCCCTCCTGCCAAAATCTTTCCCCGTGATCAATATAACATGGACCCCATTGGAAATAAGCTTTCGAGCTTTCATGGGCTATCCTCAGGTTTATAGATCAATGTTTGTGTTGTATTAATTGTATAAATATAATTACCTATATCTTAAAATCAGTTATGAATTTAGTTTCATATAAGATAATACAATGTTTTATTACTGACGATAATTTAATGCATGTAGGTTCATTAATATTTGAGCGCCCGGAGAGCTTGTAGGAAGGGGATGCCCAATCACCTGCTCCTTGGACTGCCCCAAAAACCTGTGATATTCTGTTTAATATTTTTAGTAATATATATGTATGTTGTACTGTAATATGTATGTCAACTGTCATGTTACATGTGATGTCTATGATCTATTTCCTGAAATAAACATTATTATTATTATTGTCGTTACTGGGATTTACTCTATCGGTATAACATGTATTTGTACTGGAGAAGAAGGCGTTGATAAGTTGTTTTAAATTTTGCCTTATTCTCTGTATGTAATATTATTAAACTGAATTAAACGAAATGACACACTTTTTCGTTTTGAATTATGACCGCATATTGATAATGTTGAAGGAAATATGACTATTAATTTAGATGATAAAATGTTGAATATTGTTGATTCATACAATTGTGGTCATTTAAAAAATATATACATATTACAAAAACGATATAGACTATACACGTATGGTTTACATTTTATTTGTGTTCATTGTTTGATAAATATAAATAATGTTTTCAATGAAATTGATTGACACAAGTATATTAGATCATTTAATAAACATCACCACACCAATATTCAATCGTTAATGGGTAATGTTCATTGTAAATGGAAATAACGTGACTAGTATTCGAAATGATATTCATATATTACTTGACAAACAAAATAAAGGTTTTAAACATTTTATATACAAATACCAGCAAAGAACACTAAAAATGAGTCTTTTTTCTGATATGATATGCTACCACTAGAAAGTCTGTTATAATATATAATTATATATTTCTTCATAAACTTATATACTCACAACTTTAATATGAACTGAAAAAGAGTCTTAACATACATGTATATTAAACATATGTTTCTTACAAAACATTTTTTTTACTAAATAAAATGATTGAGAATATGTATATAGATGAAGCAAAAGAGAAATATACATCCATACATCCATACATACATGCATGCATGCATACATACATACATATATACATACATACATGTACATGCACTACACACATACATACATACAATACACACATGCATACATACACTACACACACACACACACACACACACACACACACACACACATACGCTAGATGATAGTACTCTTCAAACTTTCCCCTGTTTTGCCTTTGGATCTTATTTACTACAGTTTTATCGATTTTGAATTCGATTTGTTGACACTTCAGTATTTTCTTGTTGTGTCAACGGTCACAAAGATAGTTTAAACTTATTTATATACAGACTAAGTCTACACAATTACATAATGCATTTCAACCTCATATACAAGCATCACTTGTAGTTATTTTAGCACATATACACATATCATGTACGAAGGTTCTTTAAAACACGACATTTTGTAAGTTGATTATCCTTTAATCACTGTTGCCGTCGTCAGAACATTATTGCGTCTTGACAACGAATCAGGCCTCTGACAATTTGATAATTTATTTGTCTATACCGTTTCGTATTCAATGCTTCGTATAAGTAGTATAATACATGTTGCTCATTTGATCATTTAAGTCCAAAGCAATTGTGTCTGAATAAGGAAGATTTTCCCAAAAGCAATGTCACTGAATCACACAGGCTTTAGATTTCTGATTTTTTGTTTTCTCCTTCGCGGTTGGCTCTTTCTTTTGTTCATCAAGTGTGTCATCTGGTTTGGGTGTCTTGATTCTTTGGTAGGAGGCATGGAAATCTGCATGGTTTTTCTTCACATGTTGGTGAAGAAGAGTATTGGCTAGATCTAGTGGTGTGTTACCATGGTTATCCTTCAACATGGGAGACAAACCTTCTTTGACGAGAGAGTCAAAAACTTCCGACGATCCATTTTTACCGGCAGCCACATGAAGTGCTGTCCTGCCTTGGCTGTCAGTAGAGAAGATAAAGTTCTGGTTTGTTGAGAGAATGTACTCAACCAAGTTTAACTGTGAGGTTGCTGCCGCTAAATGGAGAACAGTGCTTCCACTGGATGTTTTAGAACTGGGAGGCAGACCTGCCTCAACTAACTCAACAAATACGTCCACATTGCCACCAGCTGCGGCATAATGTAGCGCAGTGCGACCAGACTCGTCCGCAAGAGGTAATACATCGATGGTAGCTTGAATGATGTAGCGAACAAGATCTAGTTTTCCATTGTAAGAAGCAATGTGAAGGACGGTGCTTCCATCGTTTGTTGTAGTTTTTGATGATAATCCAGCATGTAGAAGCTCTATAAAGACCTCTACCTTACCACCAGCAGCTGCATGGTGAAGTGCAGTCTTTCCACTATTGTCAATCATTGGAATAATTTCTATAATATTGTCCACAATATGTATGACCAGCTCTAAGTTTCCATTGAACGATGCGATGTGGAGAACAGTACTTCCGTCTTTCGCCGTGTCATCTGCTGACAAGCCAGCCATGATCAGAGCGTTGAACGCTTCAACATTTCCACTTGCTGCAACGTAATGTAAGGCAGTTCGACCAGATTCGTCAGTCATGTGTAGAATTCTTGGAAATTTCTTTGCAATTCTTCCAATGAACTCGGGCTTCCCACAGAAGGCTGCTTCATGTAATACTGTCTTCCCAGCCTTTGTCATGTCACTAGGAGACAACCCAGCTCGGATAAGATCGTCAAAAACTCCAGTATTTTTGCCAGCTGCTGCACAATGTAATGCAGACCTACCCGTATCGTTTGTAAGCGGCACAATGTCCTTTATATATTGTATAATGTAGCGAACGATATCAGTCTTCCCATTGTTTGCTGCTATATGTAATACTGTGCTTTCATCGTTGGTGGTGGCCTGGGGAGAGATCCCAGCATGAAGTAGTTCTATGAATACTCCCACGCTTCCGCCAGCCGCAGCTGAGTGCATTGCTGTATTTCCAGTGTTGTCGATGACGTTTATGATATCCTTGTAATGTTTGATGATGTGCCTTACCAGCAATACTTGGCCTTTGAATCCAGCCACGTGAAGCATTGTCCGCCCTATTTGTGTTGGAATGCCAGGAGACATTCCTGCCTCCACAAGAAGTGAGATTACCTCGATACCACCCACCGCAGCTGCAGCATGTAAGGCGTTCCAACCAGAAAGGTCCTCTTGAGGAAGTATGATTGGGTTGTTTTCAATAATGTATTGCACCAATTCTGCTCTTTTGTTTGCAGCAGCGATGTGAAGGACCGTACTTCCATCTTTAGTTATAGCCTGTGGAGAAAGTCCTGCATGTACCAGTTCATTGAACACTTTTACATTGCCACCAGCAGCTGCATAGTGTAATCCGGACTTTCCAGATTCATCAACAGGGTGTATAATGTCTTGCATATGATTGATGATGAACTCTACCAAATTGAATCTGCCGTTGTATGCTGCTATATGAAGCACAGTGCTTCCACCACTAGTCTTTGCTCTTGGGGGCAGACCTATCCCAATCAGAGTCGTAAATACATTCATGCTACCACCAGCCGCGGCAGAATGAATTGCGGTCCAGCTTGAAGTATCACTCTTCTGGATAATTGCAGGTACAATCTCTAGAATGAACTCAACAAGCTCAAGATTCCCACAGAAGGCTGCCTTATGTAGAACAGTACTTCCGTCATGTGTGGCATGTCTTGGTGACAGACCAGCTTTCAGTAGAATGAAAAATACTTGCAAATTCCCTGCTGCCGCCGCGTAGTGCAAAGCCGTCCAGCCTGATTCGTCTGTGAGAGGAACCATGTCGGGAAGCTTTCTAATGACGTATCGTACCAAATCTACGTGGGCCTTATATGCAGCTACATGTAACACACTGTTGCTGGAATTTGGCGCCGGTTCAGGAGTAAGACCTGCTTGTAGCAACAAATCAAACACGTCAGCGTTCCCACCTGCTGCGGCGAAGTGCATAGCAGTTCGTCCTTCGTCGTCCACAGTTTTAACTAAATCGCTTATACCTTGGACGAGTGTCTTGACTAGAGGGACGTTGCCATGTTCTGCTGCGATGTGGAGAACAGTGCTGCCATTATCGGTTGTACATTTAGGACTTATACCAAACTGACACACTTTCTTAAAAAGGGCCCACGTACCACCAGCTGCCGCCGAATGAAGTGCTGTTTTACCACTGTGATCCATGTATAAAACTATCTCTGGCGTTTTTATGATGATGTTTCTAGCCAGATCCGAGTGACAGTTCTCTGCGGCAATATGTAACACAGTTGTTCCATCGTGAGGAAAGTCCATTGGCGACAACCCGGCATCTTTAAGTTCATCATATACCTGCATATCTCCAGAGGCTGCGCCATCATGTAAAGCTGTACGACCAGCCTTGTCGATCAGTGAAAGTAATGTCGGTGTTGTCTTGATGATGTATTTCACAAGATCCACATGACCGTAATAAGCCGATATGTGGAGAACTGTGCTGTCTCCTTTGGTAGTGGTCATTGGAGAGAGTCCAACTTGGACTAGCTCCTTGTACGTGTCTAAGCTACCAGACGAAGCTGCTGCATGCAAAGCACTCCAACCTTCACTATCCAAAGCATGAACAACATTAGGTATGTTACTTCTGATATATTCACATAATTTTGCGTTCCCATTGAAGGCGGCTAGATGCAAGACAGTACACTCATCAGATGTTACACTCTTCGGTGAAAATCCTGAACGAATAAGTTCAGCAAAGGTATCGACATTTCCACCTGCTGAAGCTGAATGCAATGCGGTCCAGTGCGAATCGTCCGACATTGATACGACGTTTGGGATATTGCTGAGGATGTGCCGGACTAGTTCTAACTTTCCACAGAACGAAGCCACATGTAAAACACTTAGTCCGTCCTTCGTCTTTCCTTCCGGTGAAAGATCGGCTTGGGTCAGTTTATGGAAGACGTAGACCGTTCCTGCTGCAGCCGCGTAATGCATTACAGTTTCCCCGTTCTTATTTACTGTTGGAATAATTTCCGTTACTTCATTGATAATATGACTCACCATTTCGACTCTGCCATTTTCAACAGCTAGGTGGAGAATGGTGCTCCCTTCCTTTGTTGTAGAAGTTGGGGAAAGCCCTGCCTTGACCAATTCTGAGCAAATATTGATATGTCCACCCGCAGCTGCAAAGTGTATAGCGGTGTTTCCGTGATTATCGATAAGCGGTACAATCTGAGAGAACTTGTCAGTAATTTCTTTCACAAGTTCTACTTTACCTGTATAGCCAGCAATATGTAAGGCAGTAGCACCAGATTTCGTCACTGATGTTGGTGATAGTTCGGCCCTTGACAGTTCCATGAACACAATCACATTTCCTCCAGCAGCCGCAGCATGTAATGCCGTGCGGTCTTGATCGTCTTGCAGGGGAAATATGTCGGAGTGATTTCTTCTTAAATACCTGACTAAGTTAATGTTACCATGGTACGCAGCTATATGCAGTACAGATACTTTGCTTTCCGTGACAGCCGCTGGTTGCAGCCCTGCAGTTAGGAGGTCGGTGAACAGCTTGATATTTCCATCGACTGCAGCATAATGGAGTGCTGTTCGCATTGACATGTCCCGTAATGTGACAGTTTCAGGATGAGAATCGATGATGTGCTTCACAAGATTTATTCGTCCGAAATATGCTGCTATCTGCAGTACTGTTCTGCCTTCTTTCGTTTTAGCAGTCGGGGACAACCCCGCTTTCCTTAATATATCAAAGACGTTGATATCACCGCCTACTGCGGCAGAATGCAGTGCTGTTTCTCCATCTTCGTTTGTTTCAGGCAAGAGTTCCTTCCTACTTGTAACAAGAAATCTGATCAATTCTTCGTGAATATTGAGTGCTGCAATGTGAACCACCGTACATCCGTCTTTTGTCCGATCACACGGATCTAACTTTGCTTTTAAAAGTTCATTGAACACACCAACGCTTCCCCCTGCTGCGGCGGAATGGAGGGCAGTCCACTTTGAAGAGTTCTTTTTCTTAAGAATGTCTGGTATTGAATGCAGTATGTATCTGACAACTTCAAGTTTGCCGTGAAGCGCTGCCTTGTGTAGCACTGTACTTCCATCATTTGTTGTTCCATTAGGCGATAAACCAGCTTGCAGTAATTCGTTGAAAATGTCAACGCTTCCACCTGCAGCTGCATGGTGAAGTGCTGTCCCTCCAGAATCATCAGTTGATGAGACGATTTCGGAAACATTGTTCAGCATGTATTTTACTAATTCTTGTTTAGCGTTATAGTTCGCTAGATGCCAAACGTTTTCTCCGTTATTGTCGGTAATGCTGAGATAACTGTAGTCGAAGGACTCGAGTAGTACTCGTGCTATTCCTAAGCTCTGCTCACATATCGCTGTATGTAGAACCGTTCGACCATTGCTGTCTCGTTTTGCAAGTAGTTCATCTGTTTCCTCTACTGACAAGTCATCAGCTACTTTCTTTATCAGCCAGTTTATCACATCGTCGTTCTGGCCCTGTACAGCACAATGTAACACACTTCCCTTTTTATACCCAACTTCTTTCACTGTAGATATATCAATGTCCGTCAAAAGTTTGACGCAGGCAAGATGTCCTTTCTCTGAAGAAACCATGAGCAAAGTATCACCATCTTTGTTACGTACTCCCACATTCACCTCCTGTAGAATATGCTTCAAAATACCCTTGTCGCCCCCTTCAGCTGCGGCAAGGGCCATTTCAGAGTTCATTTCCCCCTTCCATTCATTAAGCAAACAGAAGAAACACCTCTGATTTCCGCGCTTGCAGGACTCGATCAAGGCGTTGTAGATGTCTGTCGCCATTTCGTCGCTACGAATAGGAACTGTTTCCAAAATGGCCTGCAACAGGTCAACGTTTGAAACCATGGCAGCGTATACAAGTAGTGACACACCTGATGCGTCTCTTTTCAGAAATACCTCTTGAAAATTTGAAGCCTCGTCAAGTTGCCATGTTTTCATTCCGGCCACTGTCTTGAAGTTTTCTGGTTGCTTTGTACCCAGTTCCTGGGCAATTCTCTCCTTTAAGGCGATTTGATGATCAACAGGAAAATGAACGGCTGTATCCTTCTCAGTATTTACAGTCATGTCATACTCCTGTTGCGCGTTCTTGGTGATTGAGAAATAGCTAATGTATGCTAAAGGAGAGGAGGCTATCAACTTTCGGGGATAATGCTTCGACAAAGATTGATACATTGCTTCATGTAAAACATCATGTATAAACTGGTAGCATTTGTTGGCTTTGGAATAAAACACATACACATTTTCCATACTCTTCAGAGCATTTTCAATTACCTTAGGAGTTAGGTCCTTTGCTTTGAATAAACGGGCAAGGTCTATGCTGAGTTGTCTTTGATTGTCATGGTTTTCGTAAACGATATCGGAATACACTAGAAACACTATTGCAAGCGCCACATATTTTGTATGGTTGACCAAAAACAGATTGTCAAACTCTTCGATGAAATATTTACGAGGTGTTTTGAAGGCTTGTTTTACCCTTGATGTGAGGAGAAGTCTTGTGCAGACGGGGAATCCAAAATTAGCTGGAGTGGATTTCAATATGATATTTCTTGGTTCATCAGGAACTAAAGCTTTCTGGTTTTTTGTTTGTATTTCAAGTATTTGTCTTCTTTCAATAGCAACATATTTATGCTCTCGTTCTGTCAAATTCAACACTAAGCGTGACCGGATGTGCTTCCTCATGGCCGGCAAAGGCGCGCAGTCTTTGTACATGTACGAACGACTTGACATAATCACCCGGATACGTTTCTTGTGAAGGAGGTTAATCATCTCTTCAAACGAATCAGTCCAGCCATCGATAAAGGACTGATCTTTACATAATTTGCCAAATATGTCGTCGATGAAGAGAATGTATTTCCTGGTAGGATCGATGGTATCTGTAAATTGCTTGGGCGACGTAAGTATTAGTCGTATAGGCTGTTCTAAATCGTCTGGATAAGGCTGATTCAGCAAGTGCATTCCAATAGCGGTTTTCCCTTCACCTGGAATTCCGACTAGAAACACAAAACCAAAATCCGTAAATATCCGTTTGGCCAGATTGAAGTTTTGTGTTTCTATAAAGGATGGTCTGACATTTTCTTCGAAGTCAACTAGCAAAGCTTTGGTGTAAGCTGCAAAACAAATATGAAGACGATGTAGAAAATATTCCAAGTGAAATTGCAACTTGTAATCTTTATATTTCATATTTTCTAGCTCGAACTAACATTTAAGATTGTTAAAATTGCTTTAATCTTTTCACCAGCCTATAAACATACCTCGCATTCCGTCCAGTTTTTGTACATTGATTTTTGTGGATTCTCGTATTTTCTGGATATCTGTAAAACAAATTTACGTAATTTGGCTAACGTTTAAACGCAATATCACATTATATAAGGTTATATTAAATGCCATAAGGTAATAAGCGATTCGTTTGAAAAGAATTTTAATGGCCATGTACATACGATTCAAGTTGTAACATATGGTTTTCACTTTTAAGAGCATATTGTCTACATGTAAGTCGTCTACAAAAGATAAAGCAATACACCATTAACATACTGTAAATTTAGAAATGCCTTCGTTTGCTGCGTCGAAAGTATAAGCGCGGATATCTTTAAAGATTATATATAGTAGGTATACATTTCAGAACCATTTCCTAGCGAAAATTCCTACACCGCGATCAGCATTAGGAGGCAAAATGGGAACATTTTCAATTGCAAAAACTTTTAAAGAGCAATTTTTTAAATTGTGGATAATTCCAATTAATATGGATAATTCATTTCGATTTACAACATAAAAAAGGAGGTGTTGATTAATTGACATTAAGTGGAGGAAAAAGAATATAACTGTATACATGAATACAAATTGAATACTTAAGGTAAAATAACTAATGCGTCAGAGTTGTTAAAAAGGGATATATATTACTGTTTGAGGAGATAGAAGACGACTAGGTAAGCACAAAACAGTAGGTGCACGAGTGAATAATGCAATTCATGAAATAAACCAATACATGTATCTCATACCAATAGCCAGAAACTATTTCTGCTCGAATGTCTTAATATTATTGAGTTCGAGTAATAAAGAAAAGAAAAACTACAATGATTCCAGAAGGAGAAATACAGAGGTAAAGGAAGGAAAAGTGTCATCAGTGGATACTACAGTGCATGTGAATCACAGAAAAGATATACTTTGTACCATTCCTCAGAGTATAAAGATATCGATGACGTCCTTTTCTCGACCCTATTAACAAATAACGTTCGAAAGTAATAGTATACTCTTGCACAAGGTAAAAGTTCTGGTGACATCATTCTTATCTATCAACGTCTTATCTTCAACAGCAGATCCATGAGGGATCTTGGAGCCAACCATCGTACCATCTTCATTATTTCTATATATGACTGTTTTTCTCTCATCTGTTTCATTGAGTCAAGGAAACAGTAAACGCACATTTGAGAAAGATAACCACTTCTTGGGAAACATCTGTATTTCTTGAGAAATAAACAAAATCTTACTCTCAAAATTCAAGATGGCTGCCAGGTTGCAATCTTGTTTTTTCGATCAGTCTCAAAATGAAACATGCACAACTGTAGGGACCAAGGGGATTTTGTATGACATATAGGACAGATCCATCTGATAATGGTAGGCTAAAAACAACTGCCTGTCAATTGCGCCATGGGATTTACACAAATGAATTGAAAACTGGGATTATGGATACCGGTAGTTGCTGTAATCAGATAAAATTGGTTACTGTCATTTGGCATCGAACTCCGACCCGTATTACATTGACCCAACCCGTATTGTATTGACTCTATAATATCACTGTTTCATATGAAAAAATACCAGTTATGATGACTTACATTTGGTCTGGCGCACTTTCTTTTTTGTGTCGAGAAGATTTTCCTCCATGGTTTCCATCCGTGACTTTATTGAGTCGGGGTCATGGCGACTTCTGGAGAGAATCCCTGTGAAAAGATCCGAGGATGTACTATAATGTTGAAATAAAAAGTACTAAATGCGCGCTGGAGACGTCATATTAAACCACAGAGTGATATATCATGAATCAATTTCGCTCCTTATCATTTATTAATATATATATATATATATTTGCTTTATTCGCAATACGATCACATCGAAAAGTGTGCCGACTAAAATTCGTTTTGACTGAATTAGCTAAATCCTGCAATCTTACATTTTAGCAAGCTAACGTTTTTGTTCTCTTATTATGCACGAAAAAATGTGTTACAAATATATAGTTTTAAAATATCGAAGCATATTTTGCGAAACACAACCAATCAAAGATAAGTATATATAGGATAAAAACAAGATTGTAATTGAATTCATAATAGACAATATAATTGTAAAGTGCAGTGGCAAGGTTTTCGACTAGACTTGTGGTATACCCATGTGTCCCTCTATCGGGCGACGTGTTTTGGTCTCAATGTGTGGCTGAAGTTATCAAAAATTTATCGGGACAGGTAACAGAGAGAACAGACCCTCAATTTCACCTTTTAATATATCGATGATGTGTTTATTTAACCTACAATAAAACTTCGATAAAATGCCTCTCTTATCATTTGCCGCCTCGCTTACCGCCAATAATATATTTCATGGCCCATTTTTCTCTGTTTTATTTTCATCTCTAGAATTTCGTGATATGTTTCCATCATTTAAAAACAAAACCCCTCTATAACGCCAAAATGTATCCGGGCAACTGGTGGCAGTATAACGAGGTTTTACTTTATACGAAAATTTATATCGATCATGAACATTTACCCTTTAAACTGAAATGAACAAAACATTACATATTATTCTACGTTACCCGATTACCTCGACCTTTACCTACAGCATTATATCAGATGGTATGTTGGTGATAGAGCAGTCAACTGTACAGCAGTTGTTACACAGCCATGTTTTTAAACTAAGCTACGCGTTGTATTATATCTCACCAGGCTGACTGCATGTTATTCTCTTCATTTTGTCGACACTTTTCCTGGTCTTCCTAAATTCTGGTTCAAGTTGTTTCAAAGTTTCTAAAATAATATAACAAGCAAAATGACCGCGAAGAAAATCGTGGTTTAATATTCATGTATATATACTATATATATATAATCATAGTGGAAACAAATTTTGTTTTTAAAACGAACAGTGGTCGAGATGTCTTAAAATCAAATTTTGAAAATTACAAGCAAAACATTCATGCAATTATGTTTAATCATAACTCGGATCACGTATATGCATTTCGTCAAACCCAGATTTTGTTTTTAAATAATCCAAAAGCTCATTTTGTTCACTACACTTCTTCCTCTAAGATTTTTGTTATCGTGTTATATATTGTAGTTTATATCAGATACACTGACGTGTCAACGAATCAGGATAGAACATAACAGGTAAAAGTCGATCTGAAATATAATATATCTGTACATACCACCCGTTTTAATGTCGAGCTGTGTATCCATATCCCGCCATTCCTTCAGTGTCCGCACGTGCTCCTCATCCACCAGAGGATCAATCCTGGCTTTTCCTATCTCGTCCAATGCCTTTCTATAAGTGGCACGCTTCACGAGTTTTTCTAGTCGACTGATCAAATCTCCAAGTTCCTCCCACATCCGGTTATATTTCGTTGTTGGAAGTAAGCAATAATCAAGATGCCCATACGCATTGTTCTTTAGTTTCTGGATCCGCTCTATGTCATCGCCAACTGTGATTTCCACGCCAGCCTTTGGGTATGTTCCCCAGTCATGGGACGGATTGGGACACTTTGGGCATATGCTCCGGAACAATAAGTGAAACAGGGTGATGTCAAACTTGGTATAATCTGGTATCTTCCCTTCATTGATGACGTGTTTTTGATTGTGACTAAGCTGCATCGTCTTCTTCTTTTGAATGGTAGCTCTGAGCTTCTTTGGTGCTACATGTATTGCTAAAATATCCCCTAAGATGGTTGGTATATGTTTCACCAAACACTTGCATATACGAAAGAAATTGTCCTTTTCAATATTGCCTTCTGTTGTGAAAGTCTCCGACCTTGTTATTTCTTCCGTTACTAAATCTACAGTCTCTGAAACTGCCTTTCCTAGACCCTGTCTCTTGATTTCTTCACTTTTAATGTCCTTCTTACCAGACTGTTCGCGTTTGGTTTCTCCTTTCACAGTCTCTGTCTTCTGACCATTCGTTGGTTTAGTATCCGTTTTCAGATTTCCTGATGTCTCTTGCAAAGTATTATTGTCTATAACCTCTGCCTTTTCAGAACCTTCTTGTTTCACGCCCTTGCCTTTCCTGTCAGCCTGTCCGGTCGTCCGTGGCTCTGTATCTTTGCTAACACCTGATCTTCCATATTGCTCTCGATCCTTGTCTCCATTTGTTGTGGCAGACCTTCCAGATCCCGTCCTCTCTGTCTCTTTACTCCCTTTTTCAGCTCCATGTTGTTCACTACCACCATTACTAGTATCTGCATTTACATCCTCTTCCCGTACTGTGTTTTCGTTGCTAGTACCTGCCTTTCCAGAGTCATCTAATCTTTTATCTTTTCCTCTCTGTTGAACCGAATCTTCGCGTTGTATGGCCTCATTACTTGCGCCTGCTCTTCCTGCGCCTTCGTGTATCGTCTCTTCGTTTCTTCCTGTTACTCTTCCAGACCCATTGCGCCCCCTCTGTACATCGCCAGTACCTTCCATTCGAGATTCGTTCCTCTTTGTCGTTTCATTGCTAGATCCTTCGCGTGCTGTGATGTCATTTCTAGTTGATATTGTTCCAGACCCCTCTCGTTTGCTATCTTCATCTATTGAACCTGCTCTTCCTGATCCTTCACGTTTGGCGTCTTCATTTCTAGTAGCTGATCTTTCAGGTTCGTCCCGTTCTTCGTGTGCATTGCTTGCACCTGCAAGTTGAGATCCAGTCCTGTTGGTTTCTTCATTGCTAGTATTTGTTCTTCCAGACCCTACACGCTGTATGTCAATACTGCCTGTGTCAGCTCCTCCATCTCCTACATGAGGCGTGACACTTTTCCTAGATGGTGCTCTTCCAGAGCCATCAAGATTTGCCAGTCCATTACTTTTACCTGATCTTGCAGAGCTCTTTCGTCTTGTCTCCTCATTTACATCTCCTGTTTTATAACTTTTTTTTATAGTGTCTATCTTTCCTGATTTCTTTCTTTCCGTGTCAGACATGTTTTATTTTATATCCAAGAATATTTAACTAACGACCTTTCTAGGTTTCACTTGTATGAATGAGTAGAATTAAATTAGTTGTTTATTCTTTTGTACATCTGTATTCTTTTATTTTTCTTCCTCTTCTTTCTCATGTTGTGTGAAGTGGAATCGGAATACACAGTCTTATGTAATAGAAACAGCCAGCAATCGTGTGACATACAGGAGAACAATAGCCACTATCCACATGGAACTGGAATCTGCAATTATAAAGGTATTGTGTGTAACATGACCATCCAATCATCAAAATGACGTATAAACGCTGAGAGAAAGGGAAATACATAAATATGAAGGACAAAATAAACGACTATACAATTTCATTAGTGTAGATTGAGTCTGCTTTGGTAGGCAACTATTGTGTTGTTAATTATAGACGTACATACAGAAACCATGAATTATATTATAATATATTGTATATTACCAGAAATAAATACATGAATTCCTTAGTGAAGGCTTGACGTCACGCAATATTACTTTCATACAGTAATGTATATGTCTTATATATATCTACCTTGTTGATTTGTTGTGTTGGATGTTTGTTCATGATATATGGTTTAATGGCCGATCGACACAATAAATAAGGTCAGCTGGGGTCATTAATCGGTAGCTAATGTGGTCAGCAATAAAGGAAGACCAGTTCACAAAAAAAACAATATGGTAGAAAGGAGGATACGCTGACCATTTTAAACTGATAGTTTCGTTGGGTCTATTCTTTCTTCTTAGCCTACGAAAGGCTTGGGAGGGTTTGGGGTTGGAGAAGGAAGGGGTCAGCTGTAATCATACATTGTAATTACGATATATACTTTTTGTATTGTAAAAATAACCATGTGTAAACGTTGTGGCAACAACTGAACCAGGAATATAAATGACTGCTTACAAAAAGTCCTATATCACACATAATGATAAGTCTGGGACACCCGACACTGATTCCGGTTGAATGCATATGTGTGTTTTCTTATTCTCGGGGATAATCGGATTGGCAGTACACTCATATAAGGTCAATGTTGACCAAAATAAAGGGCGAACTCAATCGGAAAGGAATACCTGCTCGGAGTACATCTATGGTAGCAACGTTTCCGCGAGTAGGTTCCGAATATTCGCTTTTCAGACAAAAGTACTTTGAGTAAAATAGAAGCGGTTTTCTTTACATTGATTTTGTTTCCTCGTTTAGTGCACTGCAAAGGGCAGTGACACAGGCATCAGGGGTTAGAGATACTTTGGCATTAGTTTGAATAATCATAAGATAAATCTGAAAATGAAACTGTATCATCTAACTAGCCACAAATCCATCATCGGAAGCGACTTTTTAAATCAAAGCGTGATTCTATATGGTTTGGCCTTAGAGGTATTTAACACTGCCTGTGTCCGTTACATATCCTGTTATATCTTATTCAACTGTAATTAGACAGTCCAAAGAAGCATTATATTCTTACTAAGGACATTCTGTCCATTCACCGCAAAGCAAAGACGCTTTGAGAGATATGTTTTCAGCTGTTTGTTAGACTGTACTGAAAACAGTTTGCAATATCTCCCTATACCTATAGATCACATCACACTACTTTACCAATTTCAGAACTACCTGATTTAAGTGGATGTGTTTAAAAGACGTGTAGTATTCGATGATCCAATTGTCAACAAGTCTATTGAATTTTTTACAAGCCTTTGTCTAAATATAGGGGTTAAGGACACTAGAAGTTTGGGGTCGAGGACTTTTCACCTTTTGAGAACGTTGTGGTCGTCTTGTCAAATTATGTTACAAACACAACATTTTAAACTGTTTTTTTGTAAACTGAAACCAAGATAAGATATCTTCGGGTTATGAATATTCACAGTTAGACAAATGACACAATGAAAATTAAACATTTGACATTTCAAAATACGCTTAATGTATCTTATATGTAACTACTTCATTCCAAGTTTTCCTGGTGGATGTACCAGCGTGTAATAAAAAGATACGTACATGTATTTGTTTACCTTTACAAGGTTAAGTCATTCCATTCCTCTCGTGATTTATGACAGGATTATAATACAATGACCTAGATATATCATATCGTCTATTAATTCTGTTATAGGTTGTGGAACAGGCAAATCATCGTCACAACATGTTTTAGAGATTCGTTGTGAACATGTAGTCTAAAAGTCCCAGTATCTGTTAAGTATTATAGCTTTTCGTTTCGTCAACATTACAAGAGTGTTGCGATGCTTGGCAATTGTTTGCACATTGCTTATAGATGTGCATAAATATTTACCTCAGAATTGTGGAACGGTGATTAACATTCACCAAAGTCCTTGGTACTCAATGGTAAATATATTCCTCCATTTATGGTGAACGATTTTAAATCGAAATAAGTGAACTCTCATAAAGGGAATCCCGTCCTTGGGTTCACAAAATCACAGACTACTTAAAATGGCCAGATCATGTTTGGTTTGAGACGTTGTAACTATTTTGTTTCGCATGACTGAGTGTCGTGTCGGTGTGGCACAGAACAATGGCAGACACGTACTACGGGGTAGTGCTATGTTAATCATCTGATTAGGAGTAGCTTTAAATAACCGCTTCGCCACTGGTCTGGGTCATGCCAGTACCGATAGTATTGTTCAGATATCAAATGCACCCGAATAACCTCATAGTACATACTGATATACTTTACCCCGGTGATTCATATTAATTTGGCAGGTGAACATGTAATTAGTAATAAATGCGTTGTTTTATTCCATAAGAAAGAAGAGCAGTATCGTATCTGTTAATATATGTTTAGCAGATAAATTATTGTAAGTTAAAACATACAACTGTACAGCGTTAACACACAAGGACCGAATCTGATCCCGAATTTGACTTAAAAAAGACAGGAATCGAGAGGCACCAAAACAAAAAGACAAAATAAACCAACGCAAAAATAGACAATAGGCAAGACGTTCGATCGAGTCCCAATCAACGTTTTCTTTTCTGTTGGATATTTTTAAGTTATTTTTAAATACACAGAATATATTCATCATTTCATTAAGAAAACTATAGTTATTCTTGAAATGATTTATTTTTATTTTTTTTTATTTTTACGAGTATGTAGCACGAGTGAAAAATATTTACCTCAGGAGTACATTATAAGTTATATTCATCAAGACTATTCTATTTATTACGGTTTTTTGTTATCAAGACACGGGCTTCGGTAAACAGGTAAACCATTACCCGCCAAAAATGCTCACAGATTGATGGATTTAGTGTGGAAATAACAAAAAATGTTATTTGTCACAGTAGAAAAAAACACTTTCTTTTTCGGTGTAACACAACACAGGAAAAAGAGAGATAGATGGCGAATATTCTGAAGAGCCTTCTTCCTCTTACATTGATCTTCATTCTGTTTCACCTTTCACTATATTTTCATCACATTTCCCTTAAAATCTTTAAGGTAGAGCGAACTTTTATAACTTTTCCAGTGTTTCTCTTGTACATTGATTTTGCTAGTATTATGTGTGTTCAGCGCCTCGGTTGCGTTAACATTCAGTCCTGGCTGTAGTGCAGACATGCAGACAAAACCAAAAGTCTAAGCCTCCTTGGCGCCATCATCTTCCACAAACGTTTTTAGAGTTCAATGCTGTTTCCAGGTCTAACTGAACGTAACATGAATGAAGGCAATGGTGATTAATGCTCTCTTAAATCCATGATATGTATACACGAATGTATGTTCTACAAAATATCTACTTTAGACATGTATTGCCCTATATTATTTAAATGTAGGGAAACACGATTCTTTGTTTACCCGATATTGATAATATTTTACATCACCCTCGCGAACCATGATTAATCTCGGGCAAGCTAAGACACAAACATAATCTGTTATGGCAAGTCACTGGGTAGTCGGGTTGCGCAGTGGATGAAGCACTACCTTTCTCAAAGACGGCAGGGGTTCGACTCCCGATCGATCGTGGAAAGAAATCGAGTAAACCACGTGGATTTTCTTGCAAAGGCGATTAGGTAGGTTGGAAAATAAAAATAATGTTTATATACATGAACGTTTGTAAAGGCAAGCCAGTTTCACACTTGTTAAAGGAGAAACGTATATCATGTATCTTATAAGGTTATACCTGATATTTGTTAGATATTGTTTTATATAATACATATATGAAAACTTGCCACGGTGTATGTTTGTTTATAAGATATTTTATTTGTTAAGAATATCTTATATAAACTTAGAAAAAGATGCCTTATAACATATGTCAGAAGATATCTTATTTCAGACTACTTGTATAGTACACCATTCAAATATCTAATTTCAGACTACTTTTATAATACACCATTCAGATATCTTATTTCAGACTACTTGTATAGTACACCATTCAGATATCTTATTTCAGACTACTTGTGTAGTACACCATTCAGATATCTTATTTCAGATTATTTTTATAGTACACCATTCAGATATCTTATTTCAGACTACTTGTATAGTACACCATTCAGATATCTTATTTCAGACTACTTTTATAGTACACCAATCAGATATCTTATTTCAGACTACTTGTATAGTACACCATTCAGATATCTTATTTCAGACTACTTGTATAGTACACCATTCAGATATCTTATCTCAGACTACTTTTATAGTACACCATTCAGATATCTTATTTTATATTGTTTGATAGATGTATCATTCGTAAAACAGTAACAGTTAACAAAAATTCATGATTCAATCTTTGATTTCTACCAAAATATGAGATGTTTTTCGCAAATCAACTGCTGTACAAAAAAAAACTTCAGATCCATCTGAGTGACATTTTGAAATAGACAATAAACAGCGCCGTTCAGCCCAAGAAAATCACGTTATTATGTTCTCAGTGACAAATTAGTTTTCTGTAGACTGTTAGTGATATGCCACCTAGAAGTGGGTTGGTAAGATTTACGCCCCTTCTTTAAACGCTAGGTGGCGCTTGTATATTTACTTCCTGTTGATAAACGAGACATTGCTCGTGTTGCAATATAGAATCTAACAGTTGTTTTTTTACGCAGAATAGCGGGCCTGGTGCTAACTTGCTATGGAGGAAGATGAATACACTGGTAATTTGTCAGGCGTTTAAAAATGTCTGTTGTTGATGTACTCATTTCTTTCAACAGTTTCACAGCTACGGCATAAACTATGGACGCAACAAAGTAACCATCAGTAATGAGCTTGTGGTTGTTATTTCATATTTTCCAACAGATGACAGTACTCTCAGCCTTTTTTAATATTCTCAAATGTAATGTATATCCTCACATCTACGTACCCGAAAAACTTAACAAAATTAAGGTCAGTTTCCCGAGCAGAATTGTCGCTCGAAATAGCTCCTGACTGCTGATTGACAGATCTGGAAAACGCTCTTGATCATTATACTTGCTTTACTACTGAGAGCGTGTAAACATGATATCGACTGACATTCTGTTGATTGCATAATCGTAAGAGGCGACTAAATTTGGGATCTCATCTTTTCTCTTCTTTTTAAACAACTTTCTTTTTCCTAATGTCCCCTTGACAATGCCTCACTTTTGGCCTTTAGTTGAGCGTTCACCCCTGTGAAGAAGGCTTTGGGTTCTGTCCCCTGGCCGAGACATAACAAAGTCTGTAAAAATATTAGTTTCTACTCCTGCTTAACGCTCAGCAATTTAGGAGTAGGACAAATGGTTCCCCCGTTGTCATTATGATGTGACCGTTTGGGGTGTCCTGCTGGGTGTCTTTGACAGTATGTTTCAGTGAGGTAGCACTATAAAGTCGGCATCATGCAGTTCCCCGCTATCTGTATCCTTTAGATCCCTCCTACGTAGGAGAACCTTCAGCGCCTGGAGTAGTAACTTATTTACACGACCTAGATAATTTGAGAGAGCAACTGGTGTTAATGTAAACAGAGAGTTCATAGCATGCTCCAAGGACTAGCTATATACAGTTAATAAGCACTATATACACAACATTAGCAGCATCCAAACAGGTATACTAAAGGCAGGTGGGGTGAATGTCTCTAACCGCGAACCACACATCGCACACAGTTAATATGATAAAATGTCCCTTTATAACATTTTGTTTTTATAGTGATTAGCGAATACGTCTGTTTTTTGTCTGGCGAAGTAAATTGAACCGTTTAATGTGCGACGAATAGCAGAGGCTCCTGGCGTGAAAGTTCACACGGTCGCGCGCCCCATCATCATTACTCATATCCAAATCGATTTTAATAGCTGAATTGCCTTAGCTATTCGTACAAGAGAACGATTCCTAATTTCTTCACACTTCACAAGGATTCACACTTGAGTCTACGGTAAATGCTCCTTTGTCTCAATGAGAGTCAATAGCCTTCCTCACACACCCCTTCCATTTACATGAGGATGGTGGGTGTTCAAGCGTGTATAAAGGATCTGGTAGGTTGTACAGTCTACTAATCCTTCTTAGTTCCTGAAACCAGCTGTTGGAGGATTCATCCTTAAGGAGAAGCTGTCTTTAAGCAAATTTCCTTTCCAGGCTAGTATGAGGAAGTCGAGTCATCGCTCCATAGTGAATTAGGACTCTCTGATGAAGTAGAGATTCCACGGGGAGAATCCCTGTCAAAACATATATTGCTGCATCTGCCGTAGTTACCCGAAGAAACAGGATCTGCTTAAGTATCTTTTTCAGGAAGATTTCAAGTCTCTTCAATTGTTGTCCTTTTGGGAGACAGATTTCAAGCCCATAGAAGAGAATGGGGAGCACATACACAGTAATCAGTTGCAGTGATGTAATCGGGTCTAGTCCATTCTCACCACATGCATGTAGCCCTGGCCTCATCAGACTGTATATCCTACGCCTGGCTTTTTTGTATATTGGTTTCGACAGTGGCAGCAGCGGTCGATTTAACATCCTGCTGGATCCCCAGATGTGTAGTCCTGGTCCGGATATTGATTGGATCTGGGCCGATTATGAACGTTGGGGTACATATCTGATTACGCAAACGACTGGATGACGGAACCATCAGGACAGTGCTCTTTTCTGGTTGTAGTATATATCTCTTCCAAGAACTGTAATCTACCGCAACATTCAGTAGCATCTGTAAGGAGCTTGGTTTGTGAGCCAGTATGGTAACATCGTCAGCACAAGGTGGTGCCCTGCAGTCGTTGGTACCAATCTTGATGCCTAGTCCTATGCTCTGTATACGGTTGAGGAGGTCGTTCACATAGACTTTGTAGAGTTCAGTACTAAGCAGTCCTCCCTGCCTTACTCCTCGCGATACCTGGAAGCTGTCAGATAACTGGCCATCCCATTTTACACAGCTAGTCGTCCTAAAGTTGAGATCCTGTATTACATTCCATGATTTACCGTCTAGTCAGGCTAGAAATAGCTTCCTGAGGAGGCTGTTATGGTTTACCACATCAAAGGCTGATTTGGCATCTAGATAAGCTGCATAGACGTCTTTCTTACAGGCTCTGGCCTCTCGTAGCACTTCTTCTAGTATAGTGGCAGCTATTAGAGGTGATGCTTGCTTTGTGAAACCTCTCTGTAGAGGATTTTGGATCTCTGCTACAAGCGGTCTTATGGAGGTCAGTATTAAGGCCTCAAGGACTTCGTTATCACTGGCGTCACAGTGATCCCACGATAGTTTTTCGCCTCAAATTTACTCCCCTTGTTCTTGAAAACTGGCACTATAGTACTTTTCCTTCAGCGCAGGAGGGACGAATCCAGCTTTCATGATGGAGTTGACGATCCAAGTCACTACATCCAGTACCCGTTCACCAGCGTATTGTAGGTGCTCTGTTGCCACACCATAAATATCTTCTGCCTTGTTCTTAGTTAGGGAAAGAATGACCTGTGCAACTTCCTCCCTGGAAAATGTAATGTCTGCTGTGTTACTACGACAGATATCGGAGATGGTATCCACATCTGTTTTGGCTAGCTCTGCATATTTTTCATCAATGAGAGGAATGTCAGTTGGTCATGCTAACGAGCCAAAATGTTGATTCCAACCTAATAGTACTTCCTGCCCGTTGTAAGTATGATCTCCCACCTTAAGCTTGGATATACACCCTCTCAGTTTCCCTCGATGCTTGCCTATCAGCTTGTACAAACGTCCTGGATCATTTAATCTAGCGTACATGATCTCCTCTCAGTCACGCAAGAGTTTCTGTGCAGACGTGCTCCTTATATGTTTCCTCAGCTCCTGCTTCGCAAGCTTCCTGGCTATAAGCAAGGGGTTGGTTGGATGACTTGGCCGACCGTTGAGTTTCCATTCCCAGTGGCATCTACGCGAGTTACGTATAGAGGACGCAATGTTCTTATTCCACACCCTGAGACAATTTGTCTTACGTCTATGACTTGGAGCACCAATAGTGGAGGCTTTCGCAGCATTGCTTAAGATCTCATTCATATCCTGTACCGCCTTTTCAATGGAGAATTTCCTTCAAGAGTCGGTTTGTACCTTCAGTGTTTGTTCTGAAACTTGTGCTTTGTAGTAGTCAGTATCAATCTTTTTCCATGGCGTTTTCTTGTTCCTTAAGGGAACTGATGATTTGGTGTGAGAATCGAAGGAATGGTTCCCTTCACCGTTATGATAACAGGGTAATGATCTGAAGTATTGGAAGAGAGGTCATTAATAGCACGTATATGCTGAATAGGGGTAGAGCTGGACTGCTGAAGAAAATAGTCTAATCACAAGGATACAAACATGAACATATCGCAGCCTCCCAAAACACATGCATACACTGTTACGCATGAATTTTGAGCCGCTACGCATCACCATTTTACTGTTACACATGCATTTGACCGTTTCTCATTGAGAGGTATAAACAAATACGACTGGAACATCAAGTTCTCACAAATTGATAATCTCTTCTCCCCTTTCCAATTAGGCTCACCCTCATTAGACTAGCTTTATTATTAATTGAATTATAAAAATAAATCTTTGATTTCAAAATTAATGAGTAATTTGACAAAATAAATATCTTTGGTCGTAATGTTATTATAATTGATTTACTCTCAGTCATTTATTCATTTATTTCTATGAAGACATTCCTGGGAAAAAATATGCTGAAGTATTTGCTAAAAGTATCAATTTTCTTTAGTCAGACTATTTTATTTGTATTTATTAAAAAAAACAGAATTATAAAGAAACCGGCAAGAAAATGAGGAATAATAATGCAATGTCAATATTATAGAATAATGCTATTTATTTAAAATTTACTACATCAATTATTACTCTTAGTGTTTTGTTTCTCAAAGTGGTGCGCAACCCATCTATCATGTGCGACGCCACTTTGAGAAAGTGAATGAGGCGATCGGTCAGAAATGTAGCAGTAAGACTTGTTGGAGTTATCTATACTTATCAGTGTTCTAGTATCTACATTTTTATACAGTAGTGAAATAATTTATGAAAGTGTGTCAGCTGAGATGAAAACTTATGAGGAAGGTGTGAATAATATGATGTTGTTAGTAACGAAAAATGATCCTGCCAACAATAACCTTTATTGGCCTGGGAACATTAACAGTTAAAAGTATGGACCTACACATCTCGTGTGTTCATCTGTACTAAAACTGGAGCTATCTGTTATGTCAGATATGATAAAAACACAAAAATATAGTATATTATGAATATAACGCATAAAATGCATGTCTATGTCTTTCTAGCTCTTCCGTTCGTTCAAGTTCGTTGACTATGCTTTCACAACATGGCTGCCTGGGTTGATATATAATACCAGCGCGGTTTGAAAGGGAATGAAATTATATTACATTCCTAGCCGCTGGAAACATTTTTCAGCTTGTTGAATAGGGCCTGTTTATTTTTGTATTGTAAAAAACTGAATAAATTGGAAGAAAAAGATGATCTTACTTCTTCAGTAAGGTTTAAAGGTTTAACACATTGTTTAACAAGGTAATTTACTAGGTTGCAGTAATTTATTACTATTATTATAATTTATCAATTAAACTGTGCGACATGTTCTTTCCACCGCTTCTGAGGCCAACATTTTAGCTCTTTATAAAGCAATGAGTATATTACATGCATGTCTGATCTCAAATTGAATTGGCTACAGGTCTCTATAATGTTATTAAAATACACTTGAGTTGTGTAAATTTGGTTTTGTAGGGAGTGGAGGGAGCACCCCAGTGCAGGATGAGCCCATGTATTTGGAGGGGGAAGGACCACCAGAGGAGGACAATGAAGTGAGTAATGTAAATCTTCTAGCTTGGATTCCTTCCTTTGTACCATAGTTAGTATATCAAGAGATTCAGAGGTGTAATGTGGTTATTGTAGAAAATTACTTTTGTCTTCTAAAAATATATATGATATTTTAGATGGTAATTTAGGAAAATGTTATGATAGGTACAACTTGGGTTGATATTTAATGCTATGAACCAGGTTATCTCAGTGTCCACTATACAAATCGGGGTTTGCACAGGCCTGGAAAAGGCCCAGAAAACAAAGGGTTGGCATTAAAAAGTCATAAATTTGATGAAAAGGCCCTGAAAGTCCTAAAATTTAACAAAAAAGGATAAAAATGAGCCTTAAATTTGACTAAATGTTCATTAAATTATGATTGTATATTTTAATATTGGTGGTTTGTGGTGTTATTCTCTTAAAAATGGTAAATTTCTAGATTTTTGGACTGACCAATCAGTGTTATAAGGGTGATTGGTGTTTATATGGTGAGCTTACAGACTTCCAGGTTACACAGTGCAAATTAAGCCGGAGATTTTAGGTCTTAATTTTTCTGAAAAATACCTTTAAATGTCCCCAAAAAGCCTTGAATTTCATAGTAAAAATCTTGTACAAACCCTGCTAATGAATTGGTTGTTGTAAAATACAATAAATATGTATTTAACAGATGATGAATATTGACCATGCCAAAGGAAATGACTCAGACATTGGAAGTGAGACGGGTTCCCAAAGGGGTGGGATAAGGGCTGATGACGGGGATGCTGAGTATGTAAGTGACGGGGGAGAAGTGGAGAGGGAGGAGGTAGAACAGGATATTGTGGAGGATGAGGAGATGCATTCTGGAGATGAGGGTCCAGCCTCCCCTACTAGCAGAGGTGGATCATATGACGGGAGTCCTCAAGGCTCACCTGATGGAGACAGACCTTTGTCTCCTGAAACACCCCCTATGTCCCCAGGGAGTGGACCAGCCTCTCCAGGAGATAGTCCGCCAGCTAGCCCTGCCCCTAGTGGCAGTCCACCGGGGTCACCGATGGGAAGTGCTAGTCCTCCCGGATCTCCTGTTGGAAGTGCTCCACATTCTCCAGCTGGAAGTGGCAGTCCCCCAGGATCCCCAGCTGGCAATGCGGTAGGGTCACCCATGGGAAGTGGGAGTCCAGCATCACCTGCAGGCAGTGCTCCTGGCTCTCCAGCTGGGAGTGCTCCCGGCTCTCCTAGAGAATATGGAAGCCCCCCAGGTTCTCCTGCAGAAATTGCTAGTCCTCCTGGTTCACCGGTTGCTTCCCCTATGTACTCTCCTGCCAACAGTTGTCCTGCTTCTCCATCAGAAATAAAAATTCCAGAAATGTCTCCAGGAAGTAGTCCTGCTTCTCCTGCAGGAAGTGCTAGTCCACCAAGATCTCCGACAGGAAGTGGCAGTCCTCCACAGTCTCCGACGGGAAGTGGCAGCCCTCCTCATTCCCCAACAGGAAGTGGCAGTGTACCTGGATCACCAACTGGAAGTAGGCGATCTCGCAGTGGTAGTCCAGCTTCCAGATCCAGGAGTCGCTCTGCAAGTGGAAGTCGTTCAAGGTCAAGAAGCAGATCTAGGAGTGGAAGTCCTGCATCCCGTCGCTCTCGATCTAGAAGTAGTAGTCGTGGTTCACGATCACGATCAAGAAGTGGAAGTCCAGGTTCTCGCCGCTCAAGATCAGGTAGTGAAAGTTCCCGTGGCTCTCCTGCTAGACGCCGACGTATTGACTCAGATAGTGAAGATGAGGGAGCAAAGAAGTCACACAAAAGGAAAGGTAGGATAGTTACTTATATTTGTCCATTTCCTTACTTACATACCCATTTTGTGGGGCGAAGCCAGTAAAAAGATAATCATTTTCTTTTACTTTAGGAAACACAAAAATGTTTTTTTAATCATTTAACATCTTAACATCAACATTCTTTTCATTCTGAAGTGATGCAAGTAACACCTTTAAATTAAACTATTTATATATCAAAATGATGAACTTATCTCTGAAATAATTACCTTTCAATTAGCTTTCAACAGACCCTTGAGAGTATATTCTTGACTCCCCCCAATTTTTTTTTTTTTTAATCATTTAACATCTGCATGCTTTTCGTTCTGAAGTGATGCTAGTGAACCCTTTTAATTGAACTGTTTATATATCAAAATGATGAACTTACACTGTATCTCAGAAATAATTACCAAGGCTTTCAGAAAACAGACCCTTGGGAGTATGTTTTGACTCCCAAAAATGAGCTTTGACTCCTGGGTTATAAAGGACAAATTTATTTGACATGATTTTGACACCAAAATTCAGCGAAATTTGTATTTGACTTCTAAAATTGCTTAATGTCAAGAGTCAACTGAAAGCCACGATTACATGGTAACCATTTTTTTTTTGTACTCAGATTTGGCTCTTCACTATGCTTGGCTAATTATTACAATTATTATAATTTATTAGCATACTTTTTTTTGTTTTTGTTTTTTTTGTTTTTTGTGTTAGTATGTGAGTAGTTAAATTTATTATTATTATATATATATATATATATTTTTATTTATTTTTATTCCAAAACTTGAAAATGAAAAGGGACCCAGAAAGAATCTATCTAATCAAAGTATTTATACCTAAGAAAGTAAGCCAATTTAAAGATCCATGTATGACTGTATCTGGCCCGAGATTTCTTTGTTACACATGAAAAAAGATTTTGATAGTAATATATTGTCTTATTGTTACCATAAGTTTGGGACTTTGGAGGATGCACTGTGTGGTAGCGGATTTGATGTTTGAAAACGTGACTTTAGTTCTGTTTGCCTGCATGTGTTTTTATTTGCTTTAGTTGGCCATTATATTATAATATAGAATTGTAATACATAGACATAATTGGTGCATTGATCAGACTTTGTTAGGGCTGGGGGCTTACACTTGTGGCCAGATGTTTTGAGAATCATTTCTCATGATGTTTACTTGTTTGTTGGTAAATACAAAGTAATTTGTCATGTATTTGATTTTATATTTCAAGCTAAAGGAAGTGATGAGGAAGATGACAGTGACAAAGAGTAAGTTATTAGAGATTTGTAGAATTGAATCAGTCTATCTTTGATGAATATACCTGTCATTAAATTTTAGATAACCTAGGCAAGGACTAAAAAACAGATCTGCATACAATTCCTGATATCAAATTACTCAAAAGTTTTGATAGGTGATAAATATATATAGTGTCTCTGAAAAAGTGCGTACCACCCTTTCCATACGGTTATTTCTGGAACATATGTAATTGTTTTTTAAATGTAGTGAAGATTTGACAGAGACTTTGAACTTTTACCTGATAACACATTTTTTTTAAATTTTTTTTTCATTAAGTGACTTGTATCAAAACCCTACTACTATTACAGGTCAGAAGTAGGCGAGCTGATTGCAGATATTTTTGGCTCCAGTGACGAAGAGGAGGAGTTTGAGGTAGATTTAGATATCATGTCTGGCTTAACAAAATTTTAGAACAATTTTGTTTTCTTGTAACTTAAAAAGAACCTAAGAACCTGATTTTCAAATGATGTAAGTTGTGTGTATCAGAATAGAATGACTTAACCCTTTCATCACTGTAAACCATAATGGACTCGTCCAGATGAATGTATGGTAGAGTCTACTCAAGTTACTTAGGGGTGAAAGGGTTAACAGTCACATCAAAGATGGAGGGGTATATACACTGTATTATAAAAAATAGTCTTGAAGAGGATTGCCTTTTACTGTGAAAGGGAAGACTCCCACTTTACAATGTACTTCCCGTTGGTCATTTAAAAGAAATTTGTCAATAATGAATTGCTTTTGATTACAATATTCTTTTCTTTTTTTCTGGTTTATGGTAAGAGAATATTATATGTTTACTACTATATAATTTACACTCCTTTGTAGGGATTTGGAGAAGAGGACGTAGAAGCTGCAAATAAGAAAAAGGAAAAGAAAAAGTCCAGTAAGACCTTGACTCCTGAAGTTATGTTTGATAGATCGATTAGTTTGGAAAATATTAATGTGTAACATGTTACGATATGTTCACAAACATCAGTTTACATACACATTTGATGAGAAGAGCTCACACAGAGGACAAACTGTAGCGTGATGTAAACTCGTCCATTTTGTCTATGGTATAAACTTTGAACATGTGATGCCATTAGACCTATACAGAGAATGATGTAAATAAGATCCGATCTTATGGATATCAGTGTTCCAATACAGACGGAAATGTAGAAAATTAAAATTTAGTGTTACCTCCCCTTAGTTTTAGATATAACTTTATGCGGAACAAACAGTTTGTCCGTTTATAAATGTAACAATTTCGGGTATAAATCAGCATACGATTACTAGGTCCGACCTTATTTTAATAAACGAACAACTGTGGTCGGACCAGTTTAAACGAAAACAGCCTAACGGATTGGGTGAGGGTACTTTTGTTGACAATACAGTCAGGTTATTTAGAGAGATCCCATTGTTATCAATGGTCCAGGGTTTGAATACTGACATGGTTCCATTACATTTATACCCTCGTAACACAGTTATTTAGAGAGATCCCATTGTTATCAATGGTCCAGGTTTTGAATACTGACCTGGTTCCATTACATTTGTACACTCGTAACACAGTTATTTAGAGAGATCCCATTGTTATCAATGGTCCAGGGTTTGAATACTGACATGGTTCCATTACATTTATACCCTCGTAACACAGTTATTTAGAGAGATCCCATTGTTATCAATGGTCCAGGGTTTGAATACTGACCTGGTTCCCTTACATTTATACACTCGTAACACAGTTATTTAGAGAGATCCCATTGTTATCAATGGTTCAGGGTTTGAATACTGACCTGGTTCCATTACATTTATACACTCGTAACACAGTTATTGAATCTGTTTTGTTTGTTTCATCTTTGATTTATTTTTGTAAAATTTGTGTAAAGTTTGTGTTTATTTAAAAATGATCGACCGAAGCTATAGTTTTATAAAAAAAACCACAATGTTTCAAATGCATGGCTAGTGTTTCTGGTAGTGGTGCAGGGATTCTAAAAAAATCTAAGATATCCTATCAAGCTAAGTAAAATGAAATTATTAGAAATGTAAATCAACCTTGATGTTATAGATTGTTTTTCTTGTAAATTTTGATGATGATTTATTATTGATATCACAGCAATTTTGTCTGATGACGATGAAGATGCGGGAGAGCAACCTACTGGAGAAACTGACGCAAATCAAGGTGTACAAGACAATTCAGATGATGACGTGAACCGGGATGATAAGTATGTAAACATTTACTGTGTTCTTTGATATCAAGTCGATAAACAGTGTTCTTCCCAGACTGTAGAATGTAGAATCATGCTCCTGTATTTTCTTATCAAAGGTAAATGGTAAAATCATATTTCCCATACTGCTCTCAATTTTATCTACTATGCATTTTGTTTACTTGTTAGTCTGCTAAATTGAACTGTGTATTCCCAATTTACTACCCTGCTTGTTGGAATGTAATTTAATCTATAAAGAAGAATAAGAAATATTTTTTCTGAAAATAACTTGAATTTGATGATGGTCTATGGGAAATCGATCACTTCTTTTGGTGGTTAACTTTACAAACACAAATCACTAAATATTTCAAATCAGTTCTATTCTATGGCTGTTTGGATAAAACCACTTCAGTTGGTATCCTTCTTTTGAAAAAGCTGGAGTCCCCACCCTGGTCAGTTACAGGATAAGCCCTAATTTTGCAATTTAAAAATAATAATAATATACAACATTTATATAGCTCCCTATATACTTTGTAAAATTACTCTAAAATGGCTTACATTCACCATTATATATTAAGCAAGAAGATAATCATCGCAATGGGCACATACATGAATAAATAAAAGGGTTAAATTACATAAAAAGTATGTAATTTGTGGGCATTTTCATCATATCGTGTCAAATTATTATCTGGTTGTTCTGATATTTGTTTTAGTGGCGGTGGATTTGTATCTGACTTTGAAGTGATGATGATGAAGAAGAAAGAAGAAAACAGAAAAAACAGGGCGAAGAGGAAAGACTTTGAAATAATTAACGATAATGATGATCTTATAGTGGACATGATAAAAAAGATGAAAGAAGCAGCCGAGGTAAAGATTTCTATACGCTACCCCCATGTACTATCCAACCAATCTTCTGAAACTCTAATATCATTTTATTTTATTGACCAAATGGTTCCATCAAATTCTGAACTATACTCTGGCTGCTATACAGTTTGAAAAGAAAACCATCAAATACATTTTTAGATAAAAAAAATATGTAGCATGTTTAATATTGTCCATTGTGTTGTCAGAAGAAATAGTATGACAACAGAAATTCATGCCAGAATGCAAACATTTTTGTATTTCCCTTTGAGATTTTGAAATATTTCACCAAATGTTTTATTGACCATCGTATGCTTTGGTTAATTCTTTTATCCGTAAATAAGCCAACCCACATCAAATACAGTTCAGTAGAAATACTGACCTGCTATTGCATGGTCCAGCAATAAGCCCACCACCACTATTCAAAAGATTAATGTACATTGAATACTTTAGTTATGTTTTTATCTGGCAATAAGCAAGTGCCTTGTAATAAGCCGATCCAATACAGTTCAATGAAAGTACTTACTTAAGCTGTTGCATTGTCTTACGATAACCCCCACTGCGTCACGATAACCCCCAATGCGTCGAGTCAAAGTGTGTGCTATTGTAGGATAAATATGGTAAGTATTTGATGAAATCAAACTCATTCTTACTTTGATGAGACTCGGTGATACTGTACTTCTTTCATAAAATAATGTTTGAGGAATTTGTTTAAGGTCCTCTGCTTATTTTTTGTTTGAAATATTGTCCTTCCTTCACTTTATAACTACTTAAAAAACTCACGTGTGTTGGGGATTAACTGTTTGCCTTCTGTATTGGTCTGTACATCTGTCTGTACATTTTGTAGACTTAGCATTGTACATCATTGGTTTAAAGACCAAACTTTGTGATTTGATATCTGTGTTAATACTTCTGTATTGGTCTTGTCATCTGTTTGTACATTTTGGTTAGACTTAGCATTGGACATCATTGGTTTAGAGACCAAACTTTGTGATTTGATATCTGTGTTAATCCTTCTGTAGGCTGACCGAGAGCTGAACACCAAAAAGAAACCAGCAACAAGAAAACTCAAGTATCTCACAGATGTTAATTCTCAGTTAAAAAAGTAAGTATCCTGTACATTTACTGTTACCTTTAGTTAAAACTCTCAGATGCTTGTTAAATATGAACAAAAATAATATTTGTTACTGGAAATCAAAATGATTATCTCCCTTAGATGGTGATTTGTCAACCTGAATGCATTTAATAAGAACAGATCATTTTCAAAACTGAATTATTTTCCATAAATTTGATGCTTTTCCATGTTACTTAAATGTGACATCATCTTGTATCTGTGGTGGTCAAAGCGGATGTCATAGTAACTTAAAAGATTTTGTCAAAGCAATTTTACTTGAATTGATTTATGATTTCCTCCCTTATCCTGTATTTTATACATGTATATTTCTTAAAGCTGTAAATTTTGTACATTTTATCATACATTGTATCTTAACCATATGTAAGATGAGCTTCGCTATATTCATGCTCAATATGTTATCAAGAATAAATAAAGCCTTTTGTTATTATTCTTTTTTTTTATTATCACAATTCTGATGTTATTTAAATGTAGTGTTCATTGCATACAGCCTTATGGGTGAGTGTATTGATAAAAAGTGATCAGCACTCAATAGATATTATTACTCTGCCAATTCTAATGCATTATTGTAATGATCAAGACAATGATCAGAGTCAAAGGTCAAAATGAAAATTTGTTTTGTGCATTGTACCTTGGCCAATAAGTATGTTTTTTGCACTAGACTTCAGTATCAATTATCAAGCGACTTCAACACTGTTTTGAAGGTTGCTGACCATTAGCTTATTTTCACTTTGGTAGATAATTTCCCAAATTGTCCATACCTGTATTTTTGTTCTTTAATCACATCTCAGAAATCGAGGCTGTACAGCCTCTTAAGAATAAGGCTGTAAACTCTGGTACTTAAAAAGTACAATTCTGTTTACTGACAAAGATTACTGACCAGACCGTTTTGTTTGTCAGGTCAGATTTACACGTAGCATTCCTGGACTGTGGAGTGTTGTCAGCAATGACAGTAAGTATAACTCTTGGTTTAACTGGAACTCTCTCTCTCTCTCTTTATAAGAATAATAAAAAAAAAAAAATTGGCATCCTTATCTAGGCAATGTGATGTTTTTTCTTAAGAAAACACTGTGTATCCTGTGTGTTTCTTGGGAAAGGGACTTTCGTTCTCTATTGGAAAAATCAGTTAAAACACATACAAAATGTGCTGTATAAGCCCATGATGAGGAATAAGCTAATCACCTTATTTTGATATTCTTCCAGTATATATAAAGATGGAATTTCATTTTCTTAATGCAAATGGTTTGAAATTGAAGTAGATCGCTTTTAGCATTATATTAAGTGCAATTTCATGTATAATACATCTAAACCTTTTTTAGAATGCTCAAATTAAATTAATGAATGAAAAATGCAAACACCACATGTTTGTTTGATGTCCACGTACCAACTATTGACTGTTTGTTGTAGGAGTGGCTGGCTCCTTTGCCAGATAAGAGTCTTCCTCACCTCCAGATCAGGGATACCTTCCTGAAACACCTACATGACGTAAGTGTTCTGATATCACTGTGGCTTCAGTCCAGCCTTGTTAATTCTACCACTGTTGTTACCAGCTTAAGTCATTGGACTGTGAAACTTGTAGTGGCTTGATTAGCAAGGTTTGACAGTCATTAACTGTAATAGTGCTAATTTTAGCAGATACAATTTTTAGTGGTAGCTTTGATTTCTCGGATGGAGCCTGGCAAAGTTTGAAAGTGAAAATTACCTTGACCGTTTTTCAAGGTTACAAGGGTCAAACACTTCAAGCGACTTCTTCGAAGGAATCGACAGGTATAGAATCTTAATATTTGGCTGGTAACTTCTTAAGATTGAGCATGACAAAGTTCGGAATGAAAATGACCTTGACCTTCTTTCAGGGTTACAGCGGTCAAATATGTCAAAAACATCAAACAAAATCTTCTGAATAATCGAAAGGCATAGAATCATATTATTTGGCTCGTGGCTTCTCACCAAAGTTTGCAAATGAAAAGAACCTCAACCTACTTTAAAGGTCACAGAGGTCAACAACATTTTAAACAAATTTTTCCGTAGAACCAAAAGGAATGAATGTATAAGATTTGGCTGGTAGCTTATTGGGATAGAGCCAATAAAATTTAAGGAAAATGACCTTGACTTACTTACAAGGTCACAGGGAAAAATATGTCAAACACTTGGCACAACTTCCGAAGAAGAACCAAAAAGCATAGAATCATATCATAATATTTGACTGGTAGTTTCAACCGATGGAGTCGTCAAAGTGTGCGAGTGAAATATTTGTAGAACAGTATAATATTTAATGAGAATATTTTGCTATGACTGCTTAAATATTCAGGTGAGTGATACAGGCCCTTTGGGCCTCTAGTTTTTCCCTGTTGTATAAATACAGTGGAGGTAAACAATAGTAGACTCCACAGATATTAGTCTATATTGAACCATTCCACTTTCACTAATATTGCAGGGTTTTTCTTGGGTTACTTCAGGAATTGCTACTCTTTCTGGATATGGCAAAGAATGACAGAATATCAGAGTGAATTTAACCCATTTTCTTCCACACAATTAATATAACATTCATACCTTTATATAGTATTCCTTCCAGAATTCTCACCATGTATAATTTGTCTACAGTTTCCATCAGTGAGTAATGAAGGCCTGAAGGCTAGTGGAATCGGCAAGGCAGTCATGTACCTGTACAAACACCCACGTGAAACCAAGAATAATAAAGAACGCTGCGGCAAACTCATAAGTAAGGTTCTCCTGTACATTCATCAGTCATGTTTTTGCTAGGTCTTATTTGTCATTCAGGATTTATCAACCTCTCAACATCTGAGGTCATATAAAGATAGCGGCAACTTAGTAAAATGGAAAAATCCCATCAAGACAGTCTGTTGTTTTTAATTGACAAATGAGGAGTTGCCTGTTTGCCTTTTGACAGTAATGAAAAATAACAGACACATCTTTCTGAATGTTATTTGCTTAAATCAATCAGTTACAGTCAATGCTCTTTATTTCCTCCTTGTCTGTTTCCAATATCTAATGCACATAATACTTATTTACAATTTAGATGACTGGTCACGTCCAATTTTCAACCTCACCTCCAACTATAAGATGTTGTCCAAAGAAGAAAGGGAACAGAGGGACTATGAACAGCTGCCAAAGAGACGGAGATTAAGGTAACAGCGGAACAAAAGGATACATGGTAGTTGACGCAACATTTACCGATGTAGTGTAAATCACCCACGTTTTGCGAGATATGTATTCTACAATATTTTGTTAGTGAATTGGATCATAAATACACATATCTCAGTGCTATTTGTTTTGGAGACATTTCCACTTGTGATACTTTCAGTAACTGTTTTGTTGGTAAATTCAAATCTTGAAAATAAGTCTTTTGAAATATGTTTTCAAAACTAAGTAGTCATAAAACTTTTCAGTACCTAAATGATCTTTCTGTATGGAAATGACACAAGAATCACGTTTTATTAAAAAAAAAAAAAATCTTATATGTAATTAATTCCAAGCAAGCTAGATCCAACGTCCGTATCCAAATCTTTCAAATGTTCCGATAGTCTTCCATTGATGGATTCCTAATGGAATACACAAGTCCAGTACAAAACGTAGAAATGGCTGGACAAGTGTATCGGCACGCTGGGTATGCCTTCTTCAGAACAGTACGACGATTCAAAAAGTGACCTAAGTAACGTGTGCCGAAACATGTAAACTGTTATAAATAATTATGATTAACCTTCCATTAGATGTTGTCCAGCCATTTCTACCTGATATGTAATTAGTAATCCAACGGAGGACATTACAGAGGTACCTTTTGTGTATTCACAGTACGGAGGGCATGACGCCGAGGAGAGACATCGACAATGCCTTGTCAGGCGATCAACAGTAAGTGATCCTTCCCTCCAATTTCAGTTGCAAGTTTGATCAATGAAAAACTTTAAATAGTCTATGAAATATAAATACATTTGATCTTTCTTATTCTGTTCGTAATGAAATCTAGTTATTCTGATGTAATTTTGAAATTCCCCAAGCATTCTTATTTTAGTCATTAAATTAAAATGTAATTCAATGTTCAAAGCTGATAGTATAAGTTCAAAGCTTCATTTTAGATGTTTAGAATCAAAATGGACTGTATTCCATTCAACTCTTTTCCTTTTTGTTGTACCTTTTAAAAAATTTGACAAGTATCTTGCATAAAATCAGATATCTTTATATATTGTAAAATATTATCTTTACTTTGATATTTTAGAGCCCTGCGACCAGGTGACAAGGGTTGGATAATGAGAGCGAGGGTTCCGATGCCCTCCAACAAGGATTATGTTGTACGACCCAAGTGGAAGGTTGAGGAGATGGTCAAAGTGAGTTGTCTTTTTCTGACTGGATGGTACAATTCACAAAAAATGCCTCTAATAAGGACATTTTTCAAACTTGATGTGATTTCTAGTAGAACATAAACTTAAGAATATAAAACAAAAAAGAGAAAAAAATGGTGTTATCTTGATATGTGATCTGTACTTAATTGTTTGAATTTGAAATAAAAACAATAGATACATGTCCATAGTTGTATATCTATATTATATACCAGGAAAAAATCGCCACAGATTTAACTTGTTCTCTTTTGCCCTCCTTAGTGAATGGAAATTAAATAAGTGATGAGAAGTAATATAAGTACACAGTATACAATGTGTAGTATTAAGAGTATATGTGGAGGCATCAACACTGGGCAAATAGGGATTTCCAATGTGAAGGGCGAATATACAGTGGTATTATCTTTATAAAGGAGTTGTATAGAGAGTGATTAAGGCATTGTTTTGAAAAAACTATCTTGTATAACAGATCATTAAATGAAGAAAATACTTGGGTAACAAGCTAAGGCTGTTTAGTACCATCTTTTTGGAGAATTTCATTGGTAATACAATATCATTAACAAACATCACAAATTGCTACATTGCTTAAGTTCCATCTCATACAGACATTAGAGTATACGGTATTGTGATATTTTGTAGAAGTAAAGACAAAATTGAAACAACCTAGCAATGATCGATGAAAACAAAAATATTTGGAAGTTCTAAGATTCATGATTGAAGTGGAAATATTGTTATATGATAATGCAAATTATAACTAGCATTTTAATACATTTTACAAAATTATATTTTCACAGTCATCCAGGAAAAAAGATGTAACAAGATATGAAAAACATGCAAGATCTTTTGCTGAAAGGAAGAAGATTGGAAAAGGCCAACGTGCAGTGGCAATAAGTATTGAGGGAAAAAACATGGCGTTATGAGAGAATGTTACACTGATTGTGAGGAGAAAGATTGGTTTATGGAAACATGTGTTTATAATTGAGGAGAGAAAGAAAGCTGCCTGAGTAGATGTGTTAATTGTTGAGGATGCAGGATGGTGTTATGAGATGTGTTTATTGTTGAGGGGAGAAAGATAGCATGAAGACAGAATGTGCTTTTCAGGTGTTGTTTGATAAACTATTTGAATGAAAAGTGGAAATGTAACGGTAAGGATCTCTTGGCCAATTACAATTATTTCTCCAATTGTGAGTTTGTAAAGATGGATTAGCTGTAGCACCTGTTTGGGAGGATTAAGCTGGACTGTTAGGATGTGTTGAGTTTGTGAACAGTCCTACAGCAAAAAAAACAATAGTTTTTTAGAATGTGTTGAGTTTGTGAACAGTCCTACAGCAAAATAACAATAGCTTTTAGGATGTGTTGAGTTTGTGAACAGTCCTACAGCAAAATAAGAATAGCTTTTAGGATGTGTTGAGTTTGTGAACAGTCCTACAGCAAAATAACAATAGTTTTTAGGATATGTTGAGTTTGTGAACAGTCCTACAGCAAAATAACAATAGCTTTTACAGCAGTAAACTATGTATCATATTCATTCTGGATGAGTGGTCACTAGATGATTGTAGTCACTTGAGACAAGTGGTTTCCTAACATGAGGGGTCACTATATGATTGTTAACTCTGTTAGTGGTCACTTCAGACAAGTACAGTCAAATCTGTGCCTGCATCACTTTCTTAAATTGTGTTAAGAAACCGCTTTTGAACCTCTCTGTTGTAGTGATTTCAGTGTGAAGTGAACCAGTATTAAGAGACCAACTGTTAAAAGAANGGGGGGGGGGGGGGGGGGGGGGGGGGGACTGTAGTGTGTCTCTAGATCAATGGTCAGTAGATAAATGTTCACTCTGTTAGTGGTCACTTTAGACAAGTATTGTTTGAAGATGGGTAGCAACTTTAGACAAGCGCTCGCTGTCGACAAGTGCTCACCCTGTAGATACATTCACTTTGATCAGTGGTCAATTTAGATGGGTTGTCGTTACATAACACAGGTTAACATTCTAGGCAAATGGCCACTGTTCAGGATAGAACTCAAATTCAGAAGCTTAATTTCATTGCCTAGAAAGTTAAAAAAAATCTATTGGATTATTTATTTTGACATCAATGGTGCATATATGTATGTCAGGTTTCAAAACAGTCCTATTTATACATAGATCTGATGTTTTAGATTTAATTTGTGATTAACCGTGGCCTAAAACTAGTCAAAATCTAATTGGTAGTACGTTTTAGGTGTTACAATAGTACATATACAAGGTAATACAGAAGTCACAATCTTTCAATGTTAACGTTTGGAGGGTATTGACTCGGGCTATTTGGTGTGAACGAAGTGTGCATGTGTGTGAATAGTGTTATTTTAGTGTACATGTATTTGTAAAAACAAATTGTAAATTTGATTTTTTTTGTGTACTTTTGATGTTGGCAAAAAAAAATTCACAAGATAAGAAGTGAGATTTGACAGTGTGTGTACATAAATACTTTTCATAATTTTACAAAAACTTCAGATTTGTGACCATTGACATATAATGTTAGACTATGTTGCAGGCTTTAGCTGTCATTTAAAGTCCATTCAAATGTTAGTTTAGGAAATTGATTCTTATTTTTCAATTTGCTGAATATTTTTGATCTGAATAGATATTTGCATGCCATTTGAGGCTTTTTTCCAGTTGAAAAGAAAACTTAAATAAAAACTAAATGGGACAGAGAGAAATTTGAGAAACAAATGATGTCATCGAAACCTCAGATTATTCATGATCACAAGTAATTGTATGGTAGAGTGCTCCTAATTCATTCGTGCAGAAATCAACATTTATTGTCTCATTTGAAACTATTTCTCACAAGTTATGCAAATCATTTTATCATTTATCAGTTGTACTTCAGACGACATTTTATCAGTTGATGGTTTGTCTAGCTATAAACAGTAGATCTTGTACATGTCATCATCATTTTACGTTCCATTATTTCAGTCAGTGACTTGAGTAGGTCATGTTATATTTGATTATGCATACTAACATTGCCATGGACACATTTCTTTAAACTGTATACGTGCAGAAAAAATATGAATAAAATACTTCCAGAAATATGTGTGCCTGTTATATATGATCACTTACCCTAAATGTTGATAGAACTTGTGCCTTAGTGTGACATTCTTTGTCTTTTTCAGTCCGCGGTAGATGGTAGGCTATCATATTGCTCTTTGTCCGTTGTCCTTGTCCATTGTCCGTCCTCACACAATTCTTATCACTATTTCTTTAAATGTATCCCCATAGTCCTTTGTTATGCATTATTGATTTTTTTTAGGGCTGATCGGAAAACTAAGATCATTAGCAAATGGCCGTGATGATTTTTGAGAGTTAAAAGTTTGTTAGCACTATTTCTCAGAAAAGACTGGAGGGATTTTTCTCAAATTTCACATGAATGTTTCCCATGGTCCTTAGTTTCGTTTGGGGGACTTATTACTTTTACTCCAATTCTTCTTCTTCTTATCTTTCTTTTCTTTTTCTTCCGCTTTCCGCCTGAAAGTTTTCCGACACTTTTCTCAGAAACTATAAGTCGGATCTTGACCAAACTTTTGAGGGATTATTACTGATGGCCTCTAGATGTGCAAACACCTTTTTGTTTTTCCGATTACCATCCAAGATGGCTGCCACATCTTCTGATTGGCTAAAACATTTTGAGCCGTAACTTTTGTTATGTTTGGCTAATAAAATTTGAGGAAAGTATCGGTATAGGACATGCTCTAAAGTCGAATAAAAAAAATTGACATTGTCAACAAAATGGCCGCCATGAATTTTTGAAAATTTTGGGAATTTAAAATTTCTAAAATTTCTGAAGGTGTTCGCTAAAGATAGCCAATGTCACTTATCCTATTTTACATGTTTATAGATATTTTCCAATGCACTCCTAATTGGACAATTCCGTTTATACTGGTTACTGAATGGTCAAAATTCAGATATTGTTCGATTTCACTCAAATTTAGTATGAAGGTGTTTTATGCCATTGTGATCCTTTTCTGATGCATCTTTGCGACTATGGGGGCAGTTTGGGGGACCATTACAATTAGTACTTGTTCATATTGATTGTTAGGACTGATCGGAAAAACAGGATGACTACACGACAGCCATCTTGAATGTTGACAGTTCAGTTCTTGGTTCTTTGGCAAAAGTACTCTTTGCCCTAATGAGAATTCAGCCGTCATTGACAGCACTTCTAATTATGTAAAAAATACAAAATATTAGCATTTTGCATATAGTTATGCATTTATTATACAGTAATATTTGTTATAGAACCAAAAACATGGCATTACAAGGTTTGAGTTAGTGTAAAAGATTCCTGTTTAAGGATTTACAAAATATGGGACTAGGTAATAGTACCTGTAAGGAAAACAAAGATAAAAGATAATCTTTTGTAGATCTGATAAAGATTCTTTAATGATGGGTGCCAAGATCTTTCTAGAATATACATTTAGACCAATCAGAAGCCTCCGTGTGGTTGCTATATAGCTACTATGGCAACGAAACCTATGCGGTTTAATTTGCAGTCCCCTAATACCCCTCACTCGACCGGGAAAATATATGGCTACCAGAAAACTTTTTTTTTCTTATTCGGAATGAGATTTATCAGTTCGGTATGATTAATCAATGCTAATTTTAGAACACACAGGAAATATCCCAGCAATTCGTCAAATAACACTCTGAAACTGAATGCAAAGATAACTGGTGGCCCCCTTCGTCTCTTTTCAACGAAAACGCTCCTAACCCAGTTGGATTCTGTGATTTTCCTAACTTTCCAGTCGTCCTCCTTTTCAAGCACTTTCGAGTTGTTCCAGTCTATGATGTGGTTGTATGTGTTAGCATGGTCAGTAATGACAGATTTATTGTATGGTTTCTCTGATGTCTTCCTTGCATTTCTAGTGTAGACTTTAAAGGCTTTTAAAGGAATTTGTCCCGGCCATTGTACTGATTCGGCACACTGGCCTAGTGTAATCCTGTCTTACACTTGATGGCATTACAATTCCTGTTATTGAACAAACCAAATTTCTCGGCCTCATTTTTGACTCGAAATTCTCTTTCATACCACATACAAAGTATCTGAAAGATAAGTGTTCCAAGGCGCTAACATTATACGAGTCCTTTCTCATACAGTTTGCAGCTCAACTAAAATCAAACCCTAAAAATCCTGCTTCCGACCAAGTATTCAACCCAAAATACACGAGCGAGGAAAATCCAGTGTAGTGCCCGAAGAACACAAATTCTCCTTTCGGGAATGCATTTTGAAGTACCCTTCTCATACACAACTTTAAACAATACTACTAAAAATCCTGCATTCGACCAAGTATTCAACCCAAAATACACGAGCGAGGAAAATCCAGTGTAGTGCCTGAAGAACACAAATTCTCCCTCGATGAACACCGCATTAAAAAGGCAATCATTTGAACAGACTCTCTATCTGTCCTACAAAGTTTACAGTTACGAGATCCTAAAAGCACACTCGTACAAAACCTTACTTTTCGCATATCTCGTTTCTTAAAGAAATTTAAAATTACTTTACTATGGATTCCGAGCCATGTCGTAATTAAAGGCAACGAATTTGTTGACAGAAGCAAAAAATGCGTTAAATCTCCAACAAACAATTATCAAACTATCATATACAGATTTTAAACCTATCATTCCAGCAGCCATTCAAAATGAATGGCAGCAACGTTGATCTCTCCTGACCAGCAACACACGTTTTAAAGTACAACCGAAACTTAAAATATTTGTTTCCTATCGGAATGATCGTAGAGAGGGAAGATGTCCCCTGTCGGCTCCTCACTGGGCACACTTATCCTTCTCATTCGTTCCTTTTAAAACGAGAAGAACCACCTACATGCCACGCATATGACACTCCATTTACAGTGGAACATGTTTTAATAGAATGTCCCGATTTTAAACATATCTGTGATAATTACTTTCGAGTCCAGGATATAAAAACTCTTTTCAGTTCCATGGTCTCGAAGGCATTATTTAACTATTTGAACGACATCGGTCTATTCTATAGACTCTGATGTATTTTAACCCACCTAACCCTCTTTGACGTTATATATATATCACATATTCCATATCATCTATTCATTATCTCTTATATTATTTTAATTATTTACACATACAATGCGACTGCTTTTAAAAATATTCATTTTTATCTGAGTTTATCTTCGCTACTCACATGAACAAAGCTGTCGATGGGCCGTTAACACAAACAAAAATTGAGTTTGTTTTAGCGGTTAAGAGTTGAGACACCGGTCATTTACACTCTTTTCTTGACAAAGGAAACAGACGTTTTCGAAAGTTCGCAACATTAGTTTTCAATTCCTGTTTGTGTTCAAAACAAACTTAGCATTTAGAAATTGCTTTTCT